CATATAAGTTAGTTTCTCACGCATATACATTGCATTTTAGGTTAGTTTGCATCACTTTAGGTCCTAGAGTGTTCTTGCACCAGCATATGCATATTTCTTGCATTTTGCATCGCATACAGGGTGTTTTCGGCTACTTTGGAGTCTTGGAGGGTTCATGGATGTGTTAAGGCTCGTGAGGAAGTTCGTGGGACTTGAAGAATTTGGGAATGCTTACTAAGGACCAGAGATCGAGAGGAGGTTCGAGCATGGCCGGTCGATCCAGATGAGATCGACCAGAAGATCGAGAAGCCCAGCCGATCCAAGGGAAGTGATCGAGACGGAGATCGAGTGAAGCGATCGATCAAGGAGTACAGACGTGAATGACGCCATGCAGAGCGAGAGCCGGATCGAGTCCACCACTCGATCCTCCAAAGATCGACTCCAAGATCGAACGAAGCACCCGATCCACCGAGGAAGATCGAGACAAGGATCGAGCTGAAGGCACGATGTCTGAAAATGATCGAGAGAGCTGCTCGATCCCGAAGTCGATCTCAGTGTACTTTAACCACTTTTGGCCGCTAGAGAAGGGGGGACCATCGGATTGTTTGGCCTGTTTTGGCAAGGCGGCGAGCACGCTTTTAGGGACACTTTTCATTTTTATCTTTTTATCTTCTTTTTCTCTCTGTTAGAAGGCGATTACGCCATTGTTGGATTTTGAAGCTTTTCTTGCTTTGTATCGAATCGTTTAAGCTTAATCTATCGTTTTTTCATGTTCGTCGTTTTATTCTTCATGCTTTGCTTGGTTTACTTAATGTGTAGTGAGTAGTTTAATCAGGTTTTGGGTTGAGAGGATTTGAAGGGGTCGAAAAGGTTTTCAAATTTGGAGTTTTCTTGTTCTTAATGGCTTTCTTTTCTAAGATGTTGAGTTCTTAAGGCATAAAGAGTCTCACGCCAAGATCTTTATGATCAGAGAGAGCTCTTACCTTGACAGGATCCAGAGGTCTCTGAAAGTCACATCTTAGAGGCTAGTTGCTCCAAACGCCATGGTAGTTTAGAGGACTAGTTAAGCCGCGTATTTGAAATCCGTTTTCCTTGCCTCTCAATCTCTTTTTCTGCCAAACGCCATGGGTCTGGAGGAGAGAATGAGAGACTGATCCATACCACACGCCATGGATGGATCTTGTTTTGTTTTCAAGGCTTAGAGAACCTCACAAAGTGAGTAGATCTAGAGTTTTCAAACCAAGCTTGAACCTTTGAAACCCCTGAACGTGAATCTTAACCCTAGACCCTCTTTCTTAGTATTCTTACATCTTTTCTAGTTATTCGCTTGTTACATGTTGCATCCTGGTCATTAGTTTCATTGCGCTTGAACTTTTAGACGAGATCGATCCAAACTGCTCGATCTAGTGGTCGATCCTGTGGTCGATCCACTAGTCGATTTTTATAAATTCTTAGCTTTGCATTTTAATCATTCTGTTTGTTCTTCGTGATAGTTCACTCTTTCCTAGTAATTTTAAAATAGCTTTGCCTTGCATTAGTTGTCGCATTTAATTTTTAGAAATTTTACAAAATCATTCATCATTTGCCTAGCTTTACTCGATCAGTGCATTCTCACTGATCATTCTAGCTCCTAGGATTGGATTGATACTCGCTTGCATACTTTACTACAACTAAGTGTTGCATTTGAGCTTTGATACATCATTGCATACACTTGTGCGAAAATCTTGTTATCACGGGGTTACCGTGTACATCAAGGGCTGGATTTTCATCCTCGTTGCGAGCTGCGCTCTCCTGGTTGGTGAGGTTTTGATCGTTGCTGCTGGGAAGACTCATCGCTTTCAAACCTTGTATTGCTGTTTTTAAGAATTTATTCTCCTTGTTCCTACAGAGTTAGATCCTCTGGTATGACGGGCATCACCAATGAAAATCTAGCCCTTGATAAACACGATAACCCCGTCATCATTAATTCTGCAATTCCACCGCCCACGGGAGCATCACCGACCCCATTTTAGCCGCCGATCTCGCTGCAGCAATATTCCAAACCGCCTTATGGGCACATTTTTCAAAAAACTTTTTCTAGCCTAGACCCATCAAAATAAGGAGGATTGCGCCGACTTACTAAGTTAAAGGAAATTACTCGAAGATAATAACTAATTTCCATATATTTAGGGAAAAATGATATTTTCATATCAAAAAAAATATGAGAATTATCCTCAAACCAGAAAAGAAAAAGGAGTTTGCAGTAACCGATCTCTCAATCCTATAAATAGAAGGCCTTGGACAACTTGAAGATCAACTCATAATCTCTAGAGAGTAGACAGACAAGACCTAAGAAGTTCTAAGCTATCTGGTTCTTTACTCTAAACATTTTTATTCACCTCGAAAAAATCTCTAGGTCACGCCACCTTTTTTAATTGCTTTGCATTTAAACTTATAAAAAAAAATCATTTCTCCAAAACCCACAATTATTAATTACTGATTTACAATTCAAAGATGATCGGTAAAGTTGACATATCAATCTTTTTACAAGCCTAATCTTTTAGGCCATTTTTAAACTAAGAAAGAAAAATGTTCATCTCACTTTTCTTCAAGTACACGCCCATCTCCACACCACCCGACTCATCTGATACAATCCTTGAAATGCTTCAAATGTTGCCCTTTTGAAATCAAATGCTTAGAAGCTGAATGATGGTTGAATGGCTCTATGGTTGAATGGCCAGTTGTATTTGAACTCCAAACACAAAGAGTTTAGATTCCAGTCTTCAAGAGCTAATCTTCACAAGAAGTACTAGTCTCTACATGCCTCACAAGCTCTCTGAATCCCTCAAAAGAACTTAGTAAAAACGCAGGAACAATGTTGATTCAAAAGAATACTCTCTTTTTGAAACAAAATAAGACTTTGATTTATAATTTCTTGGTGATTTCGAATCTACAATGCTTTGATGTTCCAACGGCTCCATTTATGGAAGGTAGCGGTTCTTCTTTGGTTTGCTCTATATAACTCCGGTTATTGGCTTGTAAATTGGCCGGTTTCTCTTCTAAATACTCCAAGGAATCAGGCAAAGTCGTGCTTTCCTTATGTAGCTCGTCATATGTGAACGTAAGTCCAATTGGCGGTTTAGATGAGAGGTTTTGCTCTTTAGATTGAACCGGTCCTGCTTTTTAATGATCAAACTGGTCCTCTTGATGGTTAGAACGAATCAGCTGGTCCTCTTGATGCTTAAAACGTTGGCGTTTCAAGGAAATATATCCATTGCTTTCAGCTACAAGTTCCCTATTTCCCACGGCTACAAGCTTTGCTCCTTCCTCTTTAGCTCTGAGACTCTTCTCTTGGTCAAATTCTGATGTATAAGCAATGAGGGTTGTATCATCCTCTCCCTCTTGAGGAGGTTTTGTCCTCAAAACTTCAGAATCTGCATCAAACAACCTTAGGTTAGTTCCTGAAAAATCTTGAAAGTTTAGAAACTTACCTTGAGGGTTTATGGACTGGTTGAGGTATAAATGATCAATTAAGGAGGAGAATGGTATGTCTTTAGCTCTGGACAGCTCCAGTGTTGGTTTAAACTCAGCTACTGGTGGTTTCTCCTTAATAAACTTCTGATTTTCTCCATTGTTGCCCACGTTCCCATCATGCACAATTTGAGTTTCTCTTTCTGCCAATGGTGCAATAGACTTCACTTCAGGTGGCAAACTTCTTTTGAGAAAATCTTGCGCCACATGTATGGGGTTTGTTGCTTGAGGTGGAGATACATCAGGTGGATTTGGTGCCTTGTAATGTTGGTATGGCTCGTTTGACAAGCTGGTTGCTTCAGCTTTTCTCCTTTCAAGGCGTTCAAAGGTGAACACTGCATCCAGTCCTAAATGCATTGAGGGTTTCAGTTAAGTAGGCAATGGCAGCCAGTATTGCTTGAATAGGGTCAGCTGGTGTATTCTCCATTGTTTTACCTTGCAAAAGAGTGAAGAAAAAAAATCAAAGATATGTTTAAATCAAAGCAAAACAATCAGGATGTATTAAAAATGAAAGCAAAGTACAAGAACAAGCAATTAAACAGCTTTTGACCAGTTGAGAAAAAATAATTTTAAAATATATCAAATGAACCTAAAATTCAAAAGAAATATTTTTTGTAGTTTTTAAGAGTTTAATATAACAGAAACAAGAAACAAAATATTATTTTGGATTTTTTAAAATTGTAAAAAAAATGCAGAAAACTGATGAACAAGAAAAACAGTTTTTATGCGGTTTTAGTTTTTATAAGGAATAGAATTCAAAACTGAATGAAAATAAAAATCAAAAACCTGAAATAGGAATAGAAAACACATGGATAGGAGCTTTAGCTCTAATAACAATGATACAATCCTTGAAATGCTTCAAGTGTTGCTCCTTTGAAATCAATAGCTTAGAAGTTGAATGATGGTTGAATGGCTCTATGGTTGAATGGCCAGTTGTATTTGAAATCCAAACACAAAGTGTTAAGATTCCAGTCTTCAAGGGCTAATCCTCACAAGAAGTACTAGTCTCTACACGCCTCACAAGATCTTTGAATCCCTCAAAAAAACTTAGTAAAAACGCAGGAACAATGTTGATTCAAAAGAATATTCTCTTTTTGAAACAAAATAAGACTTTGATTTATAATTCTTGGTGATTTCGAATCTACAATGCTTTGATGTTCCAATGGCTCTATCTATGGAAGGAAGCGGTTCTTCTTTGGTTTGCTCCATATAACTCCGGTTATTAGCTTGTAAATTGGCTAGTTTCTTTTCTAAATACTCGAAAGAATAAGGTAAAGTCGTGCTTTCCTTATATAGCTCGTCATATGTGAATGTAGGTCCAATTGGCGGTTTAGATAAGATGTTTTGCTCTTTAGATTGAACCGGTCCTCCTTTTTAATGATTAAACTGGTCCTTTTGATGGTTAGAACGAATCATATGGTCCTCTTGATACTTAAAACGTTGGCGTTTCAAAACAATATATTCATTGAACCTACATTCACATATGACGAGCTACATATCACTCTTACGTATCACTCATCCCTCCTCTCGGACATAGAGAATGCTTCAATGGCCAAAGCCTCTGTCTTGGCTGGTCTGCCCCACCCGAAATCCAACATGTACACCCCTAACCGGGTCGAGCCTGTAACTGTTATGAACTGTACATCTGGTTTCATTTTCTTCATTCTATCAATGTAGTCCTTACAAAGTGACTCTATCCCTAGCGAACCCAAACCTTTTACCGAATCGCTTAGGATCTCCACTGCGTTGACAAAGCCATTTTCTTCCAAGAAAGTCGTTGCTTTGTATTCGAACCAACCTATCGGAAACACGCAGTTTCCAAAGTATCCCGCTGGAACTTGGGGCTCTAACCGATTCCTGAAGTCAGCTACATACAAGAAACGTACAGGTCTGTCCCCGTTGCCTCCACGCGCTTTCACCTGCAAGTCCATGCATAAGCGTATGCGATGACAAAGGTTGTCAAGTGAAGTTTATGCAGAGCGCGATTTGAGTCCTTCTTGACTTGCTCCCGAAGTTTCTCAGTGTTCTCCGCAGTTAACTCAAACGTTGCAGGGATAATATCTCCACCGGTTTCACTTTTGGGAGGTGGTTTCAAGCTTCTTAAGTTCCCGATGTCCTTTGAAAGATATAACAACAGTTCCATCATCTCTGCCTCAAGTGCGGACGGAACGTTAATGACTGTACGATCGAAACGTGGGGTAAGATCGTCCGGTAGAAGAGAAATCTCCATGGCTTTGTTATGTTCTTGTAAACTACATATATGAGCCCATGATTTAAGAAACATCGTCGACGTTGTGCCGTCGAGGACAGCATGATGAAATGTGATGCCGATGCAGAATCCTTGGTTCTGGAATAACGTGATTTGGAGAGAAAGCACAGTCGCCGAGCCATCAGACACTACCGTTAACTCGGGTACCAGAGGATCTAACTCGGCGGCCGGACGTAGTCCATCGCCGGATGCAACGGAGAAGTCTGCGTTGGTCTCTGCGATGGTAAGCGAAACCGTTTCATCCTTGGAGACGACGATGCACGGCTTTGGATCTTGTGGGTCCCACGTGAGGCGGCCGGCGAGGGGAAGGTAGTGGCGGAGGACAAGGGAGAGAGAGAGAGAGCTTTGGGAGGATGAGAGTGTGGAATGACTCGAGTGATGACTCGGTGAGTCTGTAGAAGATGACTCGTTTAGTAGGGTGGAATTTTATCCAGCGTAAGTCGAAGAAGGTTAGAGGGAGACTGAAGGAATTTACTGAGTCATCGGAGGAGTTTGTAGCGGGGATGACTCGGACGATCTTGATTTAGCGCCATTGATTACGGAGGTAGTAGATAGAAATCGCTACTCATCCTAAGTATATAAATGCTAGCTAATTTGAGACCCCCCGATTCAGATCCATGCTTTCGTCATAAAATATTAATATCTTGTGATATACGTTAAGTTTTAAGAGTAAAAACAACTTGCTCACCCAATAATTTAATTAGATATGGACAGTAACATTATTATAAGTTTATAACTTGAGAATCCAGCTGTCACTATATTTTAGTCATCCGTTATTGTGGTTCTGGAACGTACCCAAATCCTGTCTCTTATTTGGTACTCCTATAAAGCCAAACTTTAGTAGTTTAGTTATGTGTTTGACCTTTATAATATAACTTGTCAGAAAACAAAGTGTTAAATGAATTTCTTTTATTCTTTAAAGAGTTTTTAAACCTAATTTAAGTATACAATATTTAAGCTATGTAACTAAAATATACGCAAAGAATATAGTATGTGTATATATTTTTTTTTAACGTTGGTTTTTCCATTCATAAAGATAGGATTAATTAAGTACAGAAAATGATACCAATAAACATCAAAACAAGGCATAAGAGCCAAAGTTTAAAACAGAGTATGAGAAAAGCATAGTGGTATCAACCATCAAGCGTGATGTTGTATATCTTCCTATGCAATATATTGATGGACAAATTGCCAACTTAAGGAATGGACGTAGTTTCTGAAACTAGCAAGTCATGAAGCCAAGAGGGAGCCCTGTTGGATGAATATTTGGGATATAGCATCATGATACTGTGGAAAGAGTTATGATTGCAGCATTACCTCTCGAACTTGTTTACAAGATGATTCCAGAATAACGTTCGATTGGTTCATGGTTGCTATGATTTCACAGCCCATAAAAGACTCAATAGTTCCGTTTCACATGATGACGAAATTGCAGAATAGGACTGTCTACTATAATATAAAGTATTTCCATTGTGGTCTCTCACTATCCACAATATACCACAGTTTATATTCGGCAAAACCCATGACACCCCAATATTGCATTTAAGCGTATGTGTTGGGGGGGGCCATTTGTCTTGAGCCATCAGAGTTGGGAGAGGACTTGGCGTATTAGTTTTATATAGGCCATGGATACGTAACCATCTATCGGACTCGTCAAGAGCCCTGGCGACAATCTCTTCTGGTGATGAACGTATCTGTTCAAAGACAAGATAGTTATGGGATTTCCAGAGATTCCATAAGATCTATGGGAAGGCCAATCTCTTTTGGTGATGAACGTATCTGTTCAAAGACAAGATAGTTATGAGATTTCCAGAGATTCCATAAGATCCATGGGAAGACCTGTCTCTTATTTGGCACTCCTATAAAGCCAAACTTTAGTAGTTTAGTTATGTGTTTGACCTTTATAATATAACTTGTCAGAAAACAAGGTGTTAAATAGATTTATTTTATTCTTTAAAGAGTTTCTAAACCTAATTTAAGTATACAATATTTAAGCTATGTAACCAAAATATACGAAAAGAATACAGTATGTGTATATTTTTTTTTTAACGTTGGTTTTTCCATTTATAAAGATAGAATTAATTAAGTACAGAAAATGATACCAATAGACATCAAAACAAGGCATAAGAGCCAAAGTTTAAAACAGAATATGAGAAAAGCATAGTGGTATCAACCATCAAGCGTGATGTTGTATATCTTCCTATGCAATATATTGACGGACAAATTGCCAACTTAAGGAATGGACGTAGTTTCTGAAACTAGCAAGTCATGAAGCCAAGAGGGAGCCCTGTTGGATGAATATTTGGGATATAGCATCATGATACTGTGGAAAGAGTTATGATTGCAGCATTACCTCTCGAACTTGTTTACAAGATGATTCCAGAATAACGTTCGATTGGTTCATGGTTGCTAATGATTTCACAGCCCATAAAAGACTCAATAGTTCCGCTTCACATGATGACGAAATTGCAGAATAGGACTGTCTACTATAATACAAAGTATTTCCATTGTGGTCCCTCACTATCCACAATATACCACAGTTTCTGTTCGGCAAAACCCATGACACCCCAATATTGCATTTAAGCGTATGTGTTGGGGGGGGCCATTTGTCTTGAGCCATCAGAGTTGGGAGAGGACTTGGCATATTAGTTTTATATAGGCCATGGATACGTAACCATCTATCAGACTCGTCAAGAGCCCTGGCGACAATCTCTTCTGGTGATGAACGTATCTGTTCAAAGACAAGATAGTTATGGGATTTCCAGAGATTCCATAAGATCCATGGGAAGGCCAGTCTGATTCCAGCTATTGTCTCTTCTTTCTTGCTGGTGACGAGGAGATGGTACACATTTAAAAAATCGGAGTCGGTAAGAAACAAGAAGTTGACAGAGGGAAACCGGACAATTGCCAAACATTTTTGGCTTGCCTGCATTCGAAAAGAGTATGACAAATTGTTTCCAGCCCTTCTCCACAAGTACTATAAGTTCCATCAATTGGGATTTTCTGTGATTAAAGTTTTTCTTTCACCGCTAGTTTCCCATATAGGGATTTCCAGAGAAAATGCTTAAGCTTAGGGGTTGATTTAATCTTCCAAAGGTTGGACCATAACCTCTTCTCCAAAGGTGACATGACCGGACCTTGAGGTTGTTGCAGAGCTAATTGATCCTTAAGGAGTCTATAACCACTTTTTGTTGTATATTGACCATCCTTTGAGAAACCCCACACTAGCTTATCTAACCTGTCCAAAGATGGTTTTATTTTTAAAATACGTTCCACATCGTCTGGATCAAAGCTTTGACGGAGGATTCTAGTATTCCATCTCCCTGATTGAACATCCAAGAGATTTGAAATTCTGAGGGTTAAGTCAATGGTACTATCATGTCGATAAAGAAGGGGTCTCGGTAAACCATCAATTATCCAGTTCATTGCCCATACGTTTGAGTCCCTGCCATCACCAATCGATGTCACCAGTCCTTGTTTCAGTAGTTAAAGACCATAGATGATTCTCCACCAAGCATATGAAAGTCTGCTGCCCACAACTACTTTAAGTAGCGAAGAGTTACGTAGATATCTTTGCTTCCGAATTCCCGAAAGCAGAGATTCAGGTTTGTTCCAGATCCGCCACACCTATTTGCAAAGTAGCGCTTGATTAAAACGACTGATATCATGAAAACCCAAAGTCCATCCTCTTTGGATTTGCATAATTTTTTTAATGCTACCCATAATATCTTGTGTCGATTGCTACTACTGCTCCACCAGAATTCAATCATGATACTTGTCAGTTTATCACATAAATCCTTTGAAAGTTTGAAACATGATATAGGAAACACAGGTAAAGCAAGGCCTGCGGCTTTCAGCATTATCTCTTTACCTCCTGGAGATAAAGCATGTGCATACCAACCTTGTGTTCTGTTTTTTTAGCATTTTCTGAATGAAATTGAGAAGCTTAATCTTGGATCCACTAAAACATTCTGGCAAACCCAAGTAGGTCCCCTCACCACCCTTTTTATTTATTCCTAGATCAATTTTGATTCCTGCTTTAATGTCTTCCAAACATGCGAACCAAAAATAATGGAGGATTTCTCCTTGCTGAGAATCTAACCTGATACATCACCATATAATTTCAGACATCGTGTAACTTCTTTGGCTTCTTCGGTGGATGTCTTACACATTAGGAGACTATCATCAGCAAATAATAAGTGATTTACAGCAGGCCCATTCACAGCAAGAGTTGAAGATGTAGATGACATCAGGAAGCATCTTAAAAAGGGTATCAGAATGCTTGTAGCTGAGGAAGTGCATGCTGACGTGGAACTCAGGGTGTGACGGAAAAAGGAGATAGACTCGAATAATGCATAGCGTATATTCGGGGATACATGGATAAGGAAACTTGTAACAAACGGGATACTCAACTAGATTCTAGGTCTAAGGTTTTGAGTAGTTTGTATATAAAGGAAGTCGGGAAAAGTGTGTTATGTACACTTTGAGCTGCAAGAATTAAGAACGTCTTTGAGCTTCAAGAGAAAAGCAAAGCAAGAAGGTTAGTGTCCTCTTCCCTGATACACATGTTGTGTGATCGAGTGAAGAGTGTTTTAGAACTAGCAATCTCTTGGGGGCAATCGAAGGGTAGAGTTGCGTAACACCTTACAATTGTAATCAGCCTGATTAAATTTTTGATTCTAGTTAATTAAACTTGAGCGTTGGACTTGGCGCTTTCCAAGTCAATTTGCTGTTGTCTGTTTTCTGCACTGACAATTAGTATCAGAGCAGACATCTGCTAAGGATTGTCTGTTCTTATTAATCAGGTGTAATTATGGGACAAATTATGGAAAACATGCAGCATCTCGTGTCGGTCAAGTTGCTTATGCTCGATGCTGAGAAATATAGATGGTGGAAATTTCAGATCAAGGCTCTAATCAAAGGATATAATAAGGATGCCCGGACAATGGTTGAAGAAGGTTGGACAGAACCAACGATTGTTGGAGCCAATGGAGTGACAATACCCAAACCAAGACCGACTTGGACTATCGAAGATAAATCCTGGTCAAATTTCAATTCCAAAGCACTGTCAATGATCTGGACTTCACTCACCAAGGATCAGTTCAAGATTGTCCAGGGATGTACTACTGCTAAGGAAGCTTGGGACGCACTTCAGACAGCTTATAAAGGCACCTCTAATGTCAGAAGAACTTGTATGGACATGCTGGCCTCTCAGTTTGAGATGCTGACTATGGGATCAGGAGAACAAATTGATGAGTTCATTGGGAAACTCAGTTCTATTGCAAACGAGATTGGTTCAGAAGTTTCTGCAAAGTCTACCAGAGAAGTTTCAGGCTCACATATCAGCTATTGAAGTCTCATGAAACTCGGATGAGATGAAGTTCAACGAAATTGTGGAATGATGTAAGCGTATGAGATGCATCAATCGCAGAAAAATCAGGCTAAAGGAAAAAGTGTAGCTTTCTCCGCTGAACAGGGAGAGCCTCAGAAAACCAATCTTGATGATCAGGATGGACTGATTGTCAAGAAAATACTTTAAGAAGTATGACAGAGGACAGCGCAAGCCAGGTTCTGAAGTAAGAAGACCAAGCACTGATTTCAAGTATGAGCAGGGATCAAGAAAATCAGGAATGCAATGTCATGAATGTGAAGGATATGGTCACTCCAAGACAGAGTGCCCAACAGCCAAGAAAATGGCAACTATCAAGTGCCAGAAATGCAGTGGTTATGGGCACGTCAAGACTGAGTGTGTTACTCAAGATAGCCGAAAAGAAAGATTATTGATCAGCAAGGAAGAATCTCAGTCAGATGAAAGTAATAGTGATGAGGAATTGTTACTGAACTATGTTGTTTTCTTATTGTAATTGATGAGGATGTTGATTTTGGGGGAGAGTCTTACAGGAATGAGGACTTCTCGGATAATGAGATCTTAGCAGAAGAGAACAAAAATTTGTGTCTCGCCATGATAAGTGCAAAGCAAGAGAAAGAGAATCTTCTACAGCAGATCGCTGATAGGGAGGAGCAAATCACAAAGCTGCAAAATGATATTAAGGCCCACACACAAGTAATCGACGAGATGGATGACAAGGTCTTTTCTCTACAATGTGAAGTTGAAATTGCTGAGAACCAACTTTCAGAGCATGCAAAATATTCTGACTTTCTGAAAATGCTGATTTCAAAAGAACAGAAAAACAACCGTGATACGAATAGTCGTCTGACAGAATAACTGAGAAATATCAAGATGTTGTCCAAAGGAACCAAAGATCTTGACAAACTCCTGAGCATTGGACAATCAAGCAGGAGCAACTTTGGACTCGAATATGCGGGTCATTTATCCAGTCAGGGAATGAAGTTTGTTCGCAGTTCAG